CCTAGTTATCAAACTGAAGGTATATTGACAACAATCGGTCAATAACCTTCAGTGGCAATAGGAATCTTTTTCCTTCTTTCTTTCCGTTAGTAAATGAGACGAAATGTGCGTTTACAGATTTTGCTATACCTATGCTTTATTTGTTTTTTTATCGTATGTCTTATAAACTATGAACAGCTTCTTTTCCAAAATGTTTTAGTGTTTTTTATCATTATTATCACTAAGTCAAATACTTTTATCTGCTTTTTGACTACGTGCAGTTGAAACACCTGAATTTACTATAGAAAAATAATTTTAATCTAAGCAACATATAATTTCATAGGCCAATGTAATTTGTAAATAAAATGTACACCCTGATTTAATAAAAATATACCTACAGAATTTAATGATTTTTGAATAAAAAAATTACACTTATAGACATTGATCAACCTTTCAGCCGTCTACGGGCCAAAAACATGGTATTATTACAATATCTTTGTTTACTTCATTGTCTAATTCGTAATTAGTTAATTCGTAATTATTTACTTCTTATTATCCCTATTTTTTTTACAGAGTTATTACAAATTGACGAAAGAATTCCATCATGAAAAAATTCCCGCTGTAGGATATAAGTTTGACAAAATAAGTTACGCATATTATATTACATTTTATCGGACGCCGCAAGAAAAATTTACGATCGCGGCTAACGTTTCCCCTTTCATTTCAAAGCGGTCAATGGTCATACAACACAACATCAACCACACCATTAACAGTATCAACAGTATGAAAATGAAGATTATTTCATCATAATGGTGTTGTCACTGGTATGGGCGAGGGATTAGGGTGTTTTTTTTTTGGTTTGTTACATTTAGTTTTTATTTTTATTTAGTAATATTAAGTTACCGTTAGATCGTTATATTAATTTAGTGACATTTGACTTAGTTGCCATTAGTTATAATGATTTTAGGACTGACAGTTAGTCTAATCGTATTTTGATTGAATCATATGTTAACTAAATCGAATTTTCAAATTATTTCTTGGAGATTTGAGTTTATCAAATCTCGCAATATGTAATATTATTATTGTTAGTAGGTACAGTATTTTACGCGTCTTTCATATAATATTACATGTTTTTTTTGTCTTCCTGTTGTGTTTGTATTTACATAAAAATGTTTTAATATATGATTTTTTGCACAATTTATTTTTTCTTTAAAAGCTCCTATCCACGCTAGAGCTGCGAATGACTACGATAATAGACTTCAAAACCACATCGAAAGCTTTTTTCTAAAATAAGTGCTTAATATATTTGTTTTCGAAAGCTTTTTAGATTAGATTTTAATAATAACTTCAGAAATTACTGGGATTTTTTCTCTAAAAAGGCCGATATCACATTTCACAACTCATTCTTAGCTTTTGCTGTTAATTACTTCATGGCGAATCACTTTTATTAATAAATAATCTTTTTTTTTATAATATTAATAACAATTCTGTTGTACGAACAGTTTTAAATCTAACTAAATTCATTTTAATTCTGTTAAAATACAACTGAAGAATAAAAATTCTATAAATATGAATACACCAAGACATTATGAGGACAAGCCTTAGTATTAGTGGATTATTTTTATTTTTATTGAATATTTACCGCAATAGCTGGCTGGATAGACTTTTAAAAATTCTTTTACCTATGTGAACTTAACATCTTGTTTCTTAATTGAGAATTGAAAGTTAAGCATGTCTCAAGCCGTTAGAGCATCTTAAACGTCTCACTTAAATAAGTTTTCGTTTCTGATTTTAATTTTATTGGTGATCAGTTGATAGCAGTTTGATAAATATGTTGATTTTAGAATAATCAGTTGAGATTTTGTACTTTTCTCAATCCAGAAACCGGCCGAATGTAGATTAGAATATACAATATTATACGCTTGTGACATAGAAGTCGCGGGAAAACATATAGTGTTATAATATTCAGGGGAACAGTAATAGTTCTTTAAGTTATGGCTGGAAAATATTCACAACAATAATAATAAAATAAATATCTACGATATATATATGCTCTCACTCCTCTCTGTCTACCTGCAAGGTATACAGCGTGTATATATTAAATATAGATAATAGTAGGTAAAGTTTACCGTGTTGTGCAATAAGGTATCAAATAAATAATACAAATGTTGCATGTGACTACTGCGGATACAGTTTGGTCTGATAGTATTAGGAGCTATCCGTAGAACGAAGAATCTGTAGATTTTGGTCACCCATCCTATGGCAAGCTATTATAAAAGTCGCTTTATCATTGCGCTATCTAAGACCTCCTGATTGTTGTCTATATTATTCTAGTTTATTTTTTTATGATACACATTTGTATCACACACAACAACCAAAGCATTACTTTTCAAAGATTTTATTAATTTCAAAACTTCAGCTGACATCAAAATGAGATCTAGAAATAAAATTTTGTCCCGATTAGTTTTGTTTGCACAATTCTATGAGTATCAGTATTCATTTTACTGTTACTTCAAGGCGTTTATCAAATTCAACTATACTACTATTTAGAATAGGAAAGATTGATTGTTTGGCATTGAATAGGCACTCCGAAACTACTGAATTTTAATAATTCTTACGGAAAGCTACATGGCTACATCATACGCGGGTTACGTTGATTACAATTACACATAATATACACAAGATTGCGAAAAACAAATATTTTTGAAATAAAATCAATAAAAACCACCATTTTAAAATTCATAGTCTTTATTTCAAAACTAAATCACAGAACTTAAAAAAAATCTTTGCGCCATTTAGATACGTAACAGCTGACTTAGTTCCTCATAATACCTGCTGTGATGTACCAAATAACGAATATAAAATTAGCCGCTCTAACGTGTTATTGAAACCCTAATTGATCTGCCAAAAATAAAGCTATAATTGATATATCAAAATGAACTACTAGCCAAATGAACCAATTTGCTACCAAATGAATCCCTGATTGACCTATCAAAATGAAGTTTGGCATGATCTGCAAATAGGGAGTGTACAGGAACTACAGTTGGCAATACGAAATCGACAAAAGAAACACTATGCGGACAGTAAAGGAAACTTATCGGCCCTGCCATCGAGCTTTCAATTAAAATTATATTATTATTTATTAATATTGTTAAAATATTTAAATAAATATTTTTAAAAGAATTTGTGGTCATATTTGTACATCCAGAAATTCAACAACGCCTTACGATTAGCAAGAATAATAATTCTCAACAATAAAATTAAGTTTGTTTACTTATTATAAATATCAATGTCAACTATCAACAGACTACAAGATTCTGATAGGCGACGCCAGATAGCGTGCACGTTGCGCACCTTCACTGTTCACGTTAAGATTGAGCTGTCAAAAACCTTGCTCTTGTTAAGCTATCAATATGAGGCTCTGATTGACATGTCGAAAAGAATCAATGACTGACGTGGAAAAATGAAACACTGATTGACGTGTCAAAATGAAGTCTTAAATGGTCCAGAATTGACCAAATCTATCCTGATTAGTCTACTAACGTTCATATGTGGCGTGTTATCTCATTCAATCCTTTATTTTTGCCAGATAAAATCAGGGCATAACTCAAGCGGTAGAGCCATAGGGGTTCGATATCGACATGTTATTATATTATATAAAAGACAGCAGATAAACTGGCAACTGTTGAACACAATTATCACGAATAGTATCATTTGTTTGTGTATCATCCTTATAAACGAATGATTTTAACGGTTAAAAATATAAAATGAATTCTACGCATTTGATAAACTATTATAATCCAAATTTTCGATATTCCAACCTGATCTTTGCTAATAAGAGATATTTACTGTCAATAATATTAGTCTAAAGGTCAGTTGCACAAACGTCCTTCAAAGTGACATTACTAATATATTTTACTTTCATTAGAGTTTAAATTTGTCATTGAACTTTAAAGATAGTTGTGCAACTATGCGTTAGATGTTTTTAAATATATCCGTACATTGTTACGTTTGTTTCTATTTTCACAATACTAATCAGTCGTATGATATAAAATGGCCACAAAGTGCTCAGAATAGATTTTTTATTAAGTTAATTCGACATAAAAAATTTCTATGAAAGAAAATGTTTTCCGCCTCCAACTAAATGCATCTTATCAATTTTGTTCGAACTCTCTCTGTATACTAACTAGACAACCGATGTAAAAATGTATATTTAAGTTCATTATCTTCATTGTGAAAATTTAAATGCTCTTAGTTTTCTTGAGATGAAAATCTATTACTTGAGAATATTATTTTAAAAACTATAAATAAACCAAATCGCAATTTAAAATTGTTAGAAAATTATAAGAGCCAACATATAATAATAAAAAAATATGACGTTTACTAAATTACAAAGAATTTCGAACAAAAGTAATATTGACAGTAAGTCACTCTTATTGGCAAAAATGGTTAAGACTCCACATTGCAAAACTTCTACATTTTAAATTGAATATTGATTTGGGATTTTCGTATTGTTACCTTTTATAAACATTTAATATAAACATTTATTTTATCCCGTAGATTTCATGTGAACATATTAATGTAGATAATGTCGACCATAGCTAACCACCGTCATATTCGGCTAGTAATGATCAGGATGATATTCGTGTAGCATTTTAATTTATATTTCAACTTTAATCCAATTTGTACAGCTTTATGCAAAAACAAACTCAAAAGATACGAAGTTAGTATCTATTTTTGTTTAACCCTACAAAAGGCTGTTAAAACATTCGAAATTATCGTATTGAAAAAGTGAAACAAGCTTTAGTATAAAAATTAAAGTATGGAACGTCACCGGTTCATTCATATTCATTTAAATAGAAACGGCAGCATTTAAACGAAAACGTCCTTTAGGTTAGGAAGAGAAAGAAGATCTCCATACGTCAGAGAGACAAACAGGGTGTAAGGATCTTTTTTCTGTTTCTAACCAAAGAACTGTTGTAGGCCTGGCTTAAAGTTACAAATAAAACGCAACCATATATCCAATTAATGAGAATCTTAATAACATCTGTTGAACACAAAAGACCATGTCGTTCTTCCACAATATTGATATTAAATTGTAATAAAAGCTAACTAGTACCCTATGTTTAAGTCTTTAGATTTCATATTTGTTCTTCAGATCTGCTAATTCGTAATCCGTAGCTTTCTCCTCTGTTTTGCAGTAATTCAGAAGATCCGTGAGCACTAAAACATATTTATTCATATTAATAGTTGATTTAAAGAATTTTGTCACCGTAAATATAAGGTTAATGTTGTAAACTCTAACTAGGCTGTTTCAGGCACTAGTGGATATCAAAATACTAGGCCATCAGTTCGTAAATCTTTAGCGGGAGACCTTGTACTGAGAAAAATGGGCAAGAAACTTAATAAGTACTGTTTTTTTTCTCCCTATTTTAAGTCTAGTTCAAAATTATTTCATTACACTATGATGTGACTTTCAGTTATAATTAATGAAAAATAATAAATGTCGTGTAACAATATTAATGAATATAACACAACAATTTTTAAATATAATTAGTATAGGAAAAACTATCACTAATAGAAGTTGATGAAACACGAGCTGTCATATTATAAAACGATTTGACTAACTTTAATATTAGATTTAAAACATTATCCGACCAAATTAAGTGAACACGTCTCTAATTGTCATTTTCTCTTCCGTCATTGTCTATTTGCTTTAGCCGGCCAATGGTTTAAACCAAGTACTAACTATAGTCCTTGTTTTATAATAAGATAAAACGACTTAAGTCCAAGTATAAAAAAATTATAAAATATTTATAGGCTTCGAGTTTTCTTTTACTGTTTATTAGAATTTCGATAGAAATATACATCAGAAAGTTTTGATATAGAACTCTGATATAAAATTACACAGTATAAATACTTACATTTTTTATCACTAGCGCTCAGGAACATAGCGAGGGTCGAGAATCGTTTGACAGCGCTAATGTTTTTGAGATAAGCGGTGACAGTGTGATGTTTGAACTTATCCCTGTGACCGTGTAATATACCTATCACGTCAGACAGTACTTTACTCTCTAAGGCATTCTCAAATATCGATGGAATTTTAGACGGTTCTATAATCTGTAATAACATAATAATATTTATATTTGATCAAGTCTGAGTTCAGGATGCTTAAATATAATAATTAGAAGAAATTTTCATCTTAATGGGAAGCTTAAAATATATCTGAGTATATTACTTTCGGCTCGCTATTTTCATCAATGTTAACTATGTTTGGAGCAGCCTGGATTACAATAGGTATAAAATAAGAAAAATGTCAATAGAATAATGAATGCAAATTTTGTCAAATTTATATTTTACATTGTAAATAATAAAGATTTGACAAAATTTATAGCTCGGAGGCGTAGTGGATAGGCGCCGCGGCCCGCGATCGTTGTCGTTAAACAACTTTCGCAAGACTCGGTCAAAGGATGGGTGACCAAAAAATTATTATCTCGAGATACTCCGTGCTTCAGAAGGCACATTAAGCCGTTGGTCCCGGCTGAATTTGCAGTCGTTAATACCCTCCAATCCGCATTGGGCCAGCGTGGAGTAACCATCCATAAGGAAGGCCTGAGCCCCTGCAGTGGGGACGTAAAAGGGCTGATGATGATGATTGTAATTAATGAAATAATTAATTTGGTGATTTAATACTCACAGACAAGTATTCGGTTGCAGCATTTCCTTTCCCGCGTAAATAGTTCCACTGCGCCATGAACTGTACGCTGTTGAGGGGGGGCGACAGTTTCTCCGTGGATATGACGTCACACTCCAGCTTTATAGACTCGCCGCTCATTTGATTCATGTCGCCCTTCATATTATTGAACACGGAGCTTTTAATATCTATATAAAAAAAATATTTAATCTCCAATTAACATTTATAAAATATACGAACTTTTTGCTAAAACGATGATGACCTTCGTAACCGAGTGGTTCGCATACCGGTTTCAAGGTGTCGCCGTCTCTGAGACCCCGGGTTCGAATCCCAGTCGGGTCAATGTTGAAAATGATTTTTTGCTATATCGTCTAGAGTTTGGGTTTTGTGGTACATTCGTTGTCTCAGATACTCCATAAAATAAAGGCTTCCACTACTCACCTTGAAATCTGAGTATGTATGTGATGTTATCTAATATTTATTTATATTAACTGTTCTTTTATTTTCTCTATAATGAACAAAATTTAAAACTAATGTCTGGCACTCATTTCGGTTTCTTTTTATTATTTACTATGCGAATATATTAAAAGTGAGTTTTATGAAATTAAATAAACAAAAAAAAATGTTTACAAATTAAATTAATTAACGACCAAACGCTCGTAACAACGACACCATAACCCAAAACAATGAAGTTAATTTTCTACATTGACCCGACAGGGAATCAAACCTGACATCTCAGAGATGGTACCTAGAAATCGACGTGCGAGTCGTTATCTAGGTAGCTATCTATATATCTAGGTACAAGTCTATTTTAGTTACTTCAACATGCATAGTAGTAATAATGAACTCTCTTCATAATATTAATAAGTGTCATATTCACCTTTGCGTTCATCTTGGTCTTCGCTGATCCTATTAGAATCGTTGTTATTAGTGTCTCCATATGCTTTATCGTCGTCAATTTCAATTATTTTCATACGCGTGGAATTTTTTGTTTCTGGTGACGTTTTACCTAATTGCACCTCTTTGATGGGCACACGTTTCAACGATCTCTGAAATAGAAAAATCATTGACATTTGATATCTTTTCCACGCTTATTATTAACTATTTATGCCGCAACTTCATCCACTTAATTAAAGTGAAATAGTCACTTGCGTAAACAAAAAATCAAATCCTTTCTTTTTATAATGTGATATATGATATGTGTTGATGTGCTATATGTGATGAGAATGGCTTGATAATATAAATATGAAAAGAATCATTTTACAGTAGAATTTAGTAGGTATATATTAGAGGTTCCCAAACAATTTTTTCTCGTAGACCATTTTAAAAAATTTACTGGTTTCGGTGGAACCCCTGCTACTACACTTCTACCATATTCCAAAAATTCGTCCAAAATGTGAAGATCTAACGATGGAAACTGTTTTTACTTCACACCAACGTAGATCCCCGTTGAATCCCTCGTGGACCCCTGGGGATCCACCTGGACCACTTAGGGAATCACTGATATATATAGTGCTTTCCGCCCGCGACTTCGCTCGCGTGATCCATACGATTCATACCAAAACACGGATATAATTGCAATGACAAATTGAAATAGTAAACAATGGTTACTATGGCAACGTTTAAATTCCCCATACAAACTTCCACTTCCATTTTCATAACTTTATTTGTTATTATCGGGATAAAATATATCTTCACAGCATATTATGTAATTTCACGTAGGTGAAAGAATTATTAAAATGGATCCAGTTGTTTCACAGCCTATTCATTATAAACAAACAATAAAATCTGTATATTTATAGTATAGACAATAACAAACATATACATCCTCTGTTAATAAATTACGTAAGTGGGTATTTGTAAAACCTTACGTTTAAAGTACGGCCTAGGCGTAACAACTCAACGCCTCTATTTATTTATTTGACAAACTTTATTGACCAATTAATTGGTACAAGAGGTGGACTTAATGCTAATAGCATTTTCTATCAGTAAAAATTTGGGTAACAGAAAAACATGATGGCAGCATAAAGTCAACTAACAAATATACTACTTTTACTACAAAAGAATTTATAAACAATTACATATAACTGAAAAATCTTTATAAATGTTCCAAAGGATGAATTTGTCGGAAGAGAGGTTTCATTCGTATGACTTGAAAGGTGGAAAAGTCGGACATAAAGCTAGAATGGAAAAGAGGAGTAGATAGATAGTGGCAGTATATTAGCAGAACGCAGTTGTCTATCATGAGGATCACAAATATATGAAAAATTACTTTAAAGTTATTTGTAGTATTGGGGTTAAAACTTAACGGCATGTATTTAACGCGGCGACAAATGGATACCATTCCGCGTCCTAAAAAAATTGAAAATGGATAGTAAATAAACTACTTTGGTAACTAATTTGAGGTAGCATCTTAACTAGAAAGCGGCGGCTTTTTGATGAGTTTTGAGGTTTTATTTAAATTTTATCTGGCAGTGATTTTGTTTTGTGGCAATTGAATTTCTTCTAAGGCGACAAATTATTGGCGGATAAAAAAGTTAAAATAGGCTTTCATAAATTCTAAAATGGGGTCGTGTATAAACTCGACCAAGGTCTGAAATAAATACAAACAAGATCTTAAAAAAAATACTTTTGGCTACATTTGTAGGGATCTAAATAAAGCAAATTGTGACATACTAAAAAACTATTCTTGGTCTATTTATTTTTTTCTTGACTATCTTATTTATTATTAATCATCCCTCTTTTAAATGAACTTTAAATGAACCTACCTACTTTGAGTAACTAGGTACTCAATCTAGGTAGGTACTCAAAGTAGGTAGGTTCATTTATTCTAGTGCTGTAGTGCTTATAACTCCTTTTTTATTAATTTAGATAGCGTGCAATAAAAGGCGTAGAATTTGTTTCATTGTCTTTTTTTATTAATTTTCCTTCAATACACAAAATATGTCATTTACTTAATAGTCACAAAACCAAAAAAATTTTAAAGAATTATAAAGGGCGTCGTCTCTTCCTTTTTAATCCGAAAGTAAAGTTAAAGTTTTAGTCGGATGGCTAGACCCAGTATATAATAATAATAATAATATTTATTAGACCACAACAAAATACATGATTTTCGTTATATCTAAGCTTATCATATACTGTACCTAATTAGTTTGTATCTGCTGCTGAACTGAGTTAATACCCGTCTTTCGGCATACAGCGCCTCAAAACCTCAAATTCTTGAAATTACTAAGTATATATTAAGCAGATAAGCAACACTTAAAATTTGTTTCTTATATTTGGCATATACTTTAACTAACCTACAGTGTTATCCTCTCGGTGAGTAGAATGATAATGACTGAGTGCATGTGAGAGGGTGAGTGAGTTATAAACCTTGAAATTCCAAACACAAATATCCAAATACATTATTATAATACCCATTTTTAGTTTTAAAGCTACCTAACAATCGCTGCCAGATGTGTATTTTTATAATGAAAGGCAATAGTTGCCAGTGAAGAATGTTTGATATCCCCTCGGAAAAATTAGTCGCCACATTAGGTTTTATAATACCTTAACCAATTTTACACTGATCCCGCTTGATATATTTGATACCTTACAGTAACAGCCATTTTTTAGTTTTTTGATCCTAGCATTTTGTTGCTTGTATAATTTAATAGTTGCTAAGATATTTAATCACTGCAAAGTTAGTTTTTCTGTGACTTAATAGGAAGTTGCCTAAAAAGGATTTCAGTTACCGTGTTAAATATTTGCCAAACTTAACAAAAAAGCTTTTGCTGAGACAGATAATCAACAAACGCTTCTATTCAGTTCCTACTAGTCATAGTAACCATTCTTCAACTTATATTTGAATGCCTTTGCTCTTTTGAAATATTTTGAATAATAGACAAAATTTAAAAGAAGTGTTAAAATTATTATTTTTCTATTTATTTATATATATATATATTGAAGTACACTGCGTACAAAATATACGTGAGTAATAAGCATTACTCGTTCCTTTATCCATATGTACATTGAGCATTTTCTGAGGAATTTCGATTAAATAACTATTAAGATAATAGTATAATAAGTATTGATTCAGCGATTTATATTTTTTATTTGTTTTAAAATTATCCCGTAACAAAGCAAACAAATAAAATTATATTTTTTAAGCGGCTTCAAAACCGAAATGAAGGAGGTTATATGTTAGATAGCGATATTTGTTTTTTTTTGTGTATATTAACCGATTTTTCCGTTTAAACAAGATTATGGGCCAGCTTATGGGCTCGAGATGGTCCCATATACATTTTATCGATATCGAATTGGTAGTTTTGTTTTTACAAGAAATCAAAATATGCTTTTCACAAAAATTATTACGGCCTCACTAATAAGCAATGTATAATCGTTACAGTTATACAGTATTTTGTCTTTTTCTTTTTAAACAGAACTATGTAACATAACCATTGTTAAATCTTTGTTATCAGTAAGGGCAATACACGATCATACATTTCTTCTTTATAATTTTAATATTGAATGTACTGAAAAAGAATACATGATGAGTAAATTAAATCTCCGTTCCTAAGAATTCTTTTTTTTAATAAATGGAACAGATTTCAAACTTTAAAATGTGAGAAATAATACTTATCTTAAAAGCAACTTAATTATTCAAAAAACTACTATTGAAGACAGGCGATCATAGTTTAAAACCCTACAGAAAACCTTCGCCCGACTTCAATAGCTTCTCGAATAATTAAGTCGAATTAATAGACGGTAAATATGAAAAAAAGCAGATACTGCTTACACTTGACGCGAAGATGTAATAAACGGGCGAGTGAGAGCGAGAGAGTAAGAACTCTCTCTCATAGCGAACCAAATTGGCGGTAGGTCCTAGCACCAAACCAAGGGACAGTTCATTAGCCAGTCAGTCATTGCGCTGTGACGCTACTGCTCTTCTATTTTATTTTTTTATTAATATAAGTGATAGCATAATAGCCAACTTATACGACATGAGAGTTAGTCGCAATCACAGAACACAGAAAGACATTAGAAGGGCCTTGTGGGCGTGGCAGTAGAGCCACGATCCTAGACAAATGTACAGGATCATGACTTCACCACGCGATCGCGATGTTTAGTCATTCACGAACGCGTGCGCTGTAAGTACTGTGAAACACGCCACTAAAAGTGTTGAAAATGCCGACTTTCGCAGTTATTAATTGCAAAACAAGAAGCCCATCCTCAAGTAGGTCCAAAGGAAGGATTTCTTTCCATTATTAAGTAGAACACTTCTCAAATTTAGTATTTTTAGTCGAAAATCGTGAAATGTTATCAAAAGTGTGAATCTCAAAAAATATTTCCAAGAAAATATACATTGCTGGAGAAGTGCGCATATTTATTCCATTGCGTCTTACTAAGCACGTAATGTAATGAATATCGCGAAATTACCGTTTTAAATAGCAACATAATAGATTACGGTAAATGGGTAGTGACGTGCCTGGAAACATTTAATCGATTCTTGGTATGTTAGGTAGTAAAAACCAAATAAAAGTATGGACAATAAAAATAGTGGTAATAAAAAATAAATTTAATCAGAGATTAACCATATTGACTTCGTTTGGAATGCGTTTGTATATTAATTAAATAATGAGTGTGGTAATAAGTCTGTTTTTATATTCTTAATATTTTAACAGAAAACTAGTTTTTTATTTTTATTTTGAACCATTAACAACAACACTTTTTAAATCATCGGAGTCTGTTCAGGATAAGTTCCAATAGCATTTATTGTACTGATAGATTTTTTTTTATTTTGTATATATTTATTTACATTATATTGTTTGTCAATATTACTAGTTTCATTTAAGCGATGTTGCCGATCTTATCTGTTTACTTGATACGAAATCGAGTAATGTAACGTAAAAAAAAAACCTATTATTATTATTAATAAACAAACATATTTATATGCAAATATTTAAGCCCGACTAGTACCGATTCAATGTTAGTTCATTAGTAATTTAAATATTTCTTATTGAATCAACCAACTAATTAAGAATTCATATCTAAAGAAAAAAGATAATGTCTCATATAATCAATACAATTCAATGTATATCCAATATAATATAAAGCAATCATTAATCTAGTATCCTTTCAATTAATCGACTTGTTGCTTTTCAATATCGATAGTGAATAACTTTATGTCAATCACTAGTGTGATATGTCAAATTAAAATGGCTTTTACACGTTTATTACGCACTATAGATGTCTGTTATGGTTGAGCGTGATTGGTTATAGTTATATTGGAGTGTTCTGATTGGCATGTTTAAAATACAAGTGTGTCGCAATCTTTTGTATAATTGGTCTGATTATTCGTCTGATGTACGGCGGACTAAAAGTGGGGCAAGACTGGCTACATCGGTTTTCGTACAAAGGATGCATGATGGCCTTTCTAACCTCTTTTCCGTGTTCTGTGGTCGCAATGCTAGCGATGCAGAATTGAAACTGGTAAGCAGACTATTTATTGATGCCTTCTACTTTTCGTTTAAAATTTCATAATGAAATATAAATAATTTAATATTTATTTGAAAGTGCCTAGTAAATAAACTAAAGGTATATTGACAAAAATCGGTTATTAACCTTCAGTGGTAGTAGAAATCTTTGTTTTTTCTTTCTCTCCAATGTAAGTGAAAAGAGAGAAAAAGAGAGTGCATTTTTAAATTTTTGCTATATGTTTTATTTGTTTCTTTAATGTATGCAGTTTTTAATAGAATCAAGTATTACAAGCAACTTTTACATCATGATAAGACGTCAGTTTTGGTTTGCAATCTGATTTATATTAAACATAGAATATAGTGATCAAATTTGTTATGAACTGTAATGTATCTCGGATCGGCTAAAAATCAGTATATATGGAATCTTTTTTTTTTCATAGTTTAAGGTAGGTTTAAATTTTTAATGAACAGCCCTATTTCAGAATGATAAAGCGTTTTCATCAGTATTGTCACAATGCCAAATAACTTTCATCTACTTTATACATCACGTGCAGTTTTAACACTGATACACTTTAGAAAACAGAATTTTACTTTTAGCGACGTACCTCCATAGCCGAGTGTTCGTACGCCGGTTTCAAAGTGTCGCCACACCGGGTTCGATGTCCGGACGGGTCAAAGTAGAAAATGAACTTTTCTATATTATGTCGGGTTTGGGTATTGTAGCACCTTGGTTGTCTCAGATACTCCATAATACGAAAGCTTTAGCCACTCATCTTGAAATCTGAGCAATGTATGTGATGTTCTTTAATATTTATTTAAATTTCGTAAAATGGACTAATTTATGAACATAATTAAATTTGAGAACGTTCGTGTTTATTATTCACACTGATTTCAAAAAAATACCCAGAACATTAATTTTATTTTTTTATTTAAAATAAAACAACAGTCCAAAGACATTTGTATTTTTATAATACCTTCACTTTATTGTGTTTACTTAATGACTTAATTATTAGCTTCCTAATAATCTTTTTTTTTTACAGACTTATTACAAACTGACCAAAGAATTTGATCCCGACAAAAATCCGGCTGCAAGCAATAAGTTTAAGAAAATAAGTTATGCTTACTCCGTGTTATCGGATCCAGAAAGAAGGCAAATATATGACGCCTACGGTATTTAAGAATTACGAAGAAATTGACAATATAATTCTCCAAACCAAACTTCTACAACCGATTACACGCCAGAAGTTAGTAGACACTTCCGATTATGCCTGCCATGGCCAAGGATTTAAAGTGCATGAATTCAGTTATTCAAGCTTTTTAAATCTGCCAAGGTCAAGGCAATCTTGATCGTGGGTCCCCCAGCCACGATTATGCAAACTATGCAGAGACACCACGGTATGAACCACAATATTGGTTCATACCTTGCTGTGTTTTTCTAATGGGCACGGCTTTATTGTTTACCATAATGACCGCCAAATCGTCGTGGTCGTGGGCAATTTTATTTTACCTAATATGTGTTAAAATCGAAATATTTACAAAAATATTAAACTTATTTTATAAATATTAATGAAAATAAAATGAAGAAGTGACAGCGGCACGTTAACCACGTTTCATTGAGGTACACTTAATTACGTTTAATTTAGTTTAGTTTTATTTTATTTGGTTTTCTTTCTTTCTTTTATTTTTGTTTTGTTTTAATTTATTTCTTTTGGTTTCATTTCTTCGGTTTGTTACATTAACTTTCATTTTTCCGTTTAGTTACATTAAGTTTTCTTTTGATTCATTTCGTTTTCATTTATTTGGTTATATTTAGTTATATTATTTTAACATTATTAGGTTACGTTTGATTTTGTTGCATTTAGTTATTACTCTTGATTTAGTTATAATAAGTTACAGATAGTTTCATTTAATTGTGTACCTGCCATGAATCAGTTAGCTACATTAAGTTTCATTTCGTATCATTTATTTTAAATTACGTTTAATTTTATTAGAACTCGAGATTTCTATACATTTATTTGACGTTACACGAAAATCAAATAACCGTTAGTAATTGTTAAATCTGGCAATACTGTAGTCTAGCTTATGACGAAAATTTTTAATACCGTACAATTTGCCTAATTAGTATAAGCACATAAAAAGTTTTGGTTACAATACCATGAAATATATATAAAGAAGAAAACTTGACGGAATATACAGCTAGTGATAGAAGTAGAGAAGAAGCCAATGTCTTGCTTTGCAATGCAATGTCTCGCCATGAATTCTTTTCTTCTTTATAATGTCAACATAACATGAAATACTTATATGTATTTCAAAAACACGTAAAGCTTCAGTCAAACTTATGTAAAATTTGATTGAATCAATGTTAACCAAATCGATAATTAAATTATTTCTTGATGAATTATACTCAAATTTTACAGTACATAACATCATCAAAGTTAGTACTTGAGTATTTTAAATAGTAATAGTAAATAACATTCTAAAATTAAATCTTTTATTTAAATAACATTCTAAAATTAAATCTTATTTAATTTAAGAATGTTATTAATTTTGTATTTTATTATTATTTTGTCATTGTTTGTTTTTAAATCTAAATGTTTTAAAATATATAATTTGTTTGATAATAGATTATCTTTTTCTTTAAGAACTCCAATTCATGCTTAAACTGTTGATTAGAGTAACAAATTTGTTCGAAACCATAATGAAGTATTTTTAAACAAGTACTTTATATATTTGAAGCTTTATAAATAAGATTTTAATGATAGCTACAAAAGGTCTTGCTAGGATTTTTTATTCTCAAAATAAAGGTCAATCTCATCAATTCATTCCTGGAGATTTTCAGCTAGCAACTCATTTTTAGGTATGTAGATCAAAGTGTATTATAATATTGGTAGCAAGCAATTTAGCTGCATGTACTAGATTAAATTAAATTAATTCTGTCGAACTAAATTTTCAATTATATAAAATACACCACCATTTAAAAACTTATTATCTGTACTTAAATTATAAAGAGGAAAAATTTTATTGTTTGGGCATGCATTGGATAGACATTAAATTAATGGCTTTATTTTTAACACATATTAAAACAAGTATTAAGTACTATAATAAAAAAACAAGCTTTAAAACTAATTTTGACTTGCCAATAAATAAGTATAAAATGAAGATAAATCAATATTTAGCAATCTAAATAACTTTACATAAAACCGATTGAGGATTATGCTATTACTTTATTATATTTTTCAAACTTTTATTGGCATTGTAATTAAATAAAACATTATTTATGTGATAAATAAGTAATTTATTGAATCAAATAAGGATATAACGAATTCAATATTGTGTGTTAGTCAGATAACATTTTTTTTTTCTTATGTAGGTATTTAAAAACAGTACCGTTTAGCAGTCGATTATTCCCAGCCGGTATATTCCCGCTAGATAAATTCCTATGTCGCTCAATTTAAAAATCAAGAAAAGTAAGAATATACATCATTCGGTATTGATTGGAGATTCGCAACATAAAATAAATATTATCAATAAAGGAATTTACTATGGGAAATTTTTGAGAGATCGAACTTAGTAATGTAACATTATAGGTCGAATTAATATGTAACAATGCCCTAAACTAAAGAGAACAAAAGACAAATTTTTAAAATGATCGGAGCTCTTTCTTTTTATATATTTTTTTCTTCAACCCTGCTGACATCTAATGCGTTGTATTTTACACGTTACGATTATTGACACAAGCTTCACTATATATTAAAATAGTTCCTTCGGTACTTGTGGGAATAGGTAGATCTGCTCTGCTTAAACGAAAATTCATCATGCGCCATATTAGTTGGAACTTACTGTACGAACTTGTCCACACTTAACGACTTGACGATTTTTTTAAAAGACAACAATGCTATCTCCTATCAGAATATTCAATGAACCCCTGTTGTAAACTTCATCGAACCCCAAAATCAGTTATCTATTACGTGAACCCTTTCGAAACTGGGTCGATATTAACCGCTTTGGAAATCTCTGGTTTAGGGAATGATAAAACAGAATTAGCATTTACTAACCTTCGATCTCAAATGTGGTGGTTTCTTGACTGGTTTGATGACAGTAATGTTCTCTCCGATACCATCTCTCCAATTGTCTACGGCTGATGGTTGAATAACTCGGGGCTTCGGTACACTAGGTAACTCTACGATCTTAGATTGAGTCTTTGGTTTGGAAGTGGGGAACGACTTAGTTTCTATAGTGGGTGTGTTCAATGGTGAAGACTTAGATTTAGACTGAAAAAGAAATGGATACACATATTATATCCATAGTATAAAGCGGGCATGCCTGTCTAGTGAATTTCCTGCTTAAGATCCAAAAGTATAGGAAGAGCCAACTGACACGTCGCGTAGTGATTTTTCTTCACTACGTGGCGTGTCAGTTGTCCTATTATTGCAAACGATGACCAAACATATGAATTAATTCAGCCTTTTAATCTAAATATTATAAATTTTGATCTCACTTTCGATTACTCAGCATTTGTAGGTCTGGGATTGTAGTCTCGACAGAGTATACAATCATTAAATAAAGATCACAGAGTTCACCGTTCACAGAGATCGAGCTGTCAAACTCAATCGCTAGGAAATAAATAAAAAAAAGTATACTTAGCTGCAGAGAATGGCAATAATCGTTAAATTATGTTCAGTATGAGTTAGTGATCGAATTCGGTAAGATTGTGATCGCACACTGTAGAGACTACAGCCCCTGCTATCATCATTATCAGCCCATTTACGTCCCCACTGCAGGGACTCAGGCCTTCCTTATGGATGGTTAAAGAGGATGGGCCATGACCCTCCACGCTAGCCCAATGCGGAGTGGAGGGTATTAACTGCTGCCGGGACCAACGGCTTAAAGTGCCTTCCGAAGCACGAAGTAGCTCGAGATAATAATTTTTGGTCACCTACGTGGATGTTATAACTTACCCGGATGAAATCGCGGAATAGCAAATAATATATTTATAAAAAATATACTCACGCCTTTAGTGCCCATCCTTGCTTTGATCGCATCGAGCTGCCTCTTAGCGAGTAAGTTCCGTGGTTCCAACTCGACTACTCTAGTTAGATCGTGCGACGCCGCTCGTAATGAGCCGAGACGTTCCCGCGCAGTGGCGCGACGCTGCAACGCTTTCACATAAGTTGGGTCTAGACGGAGAGCTTCTGTACAATCCGACTCTGCTTGATGGAGGCTAGAATATTCAAAACAATAATAAATATACACATTACGATATATTTATAAATATATCAATAATTTTAAAAATACTTGATGAACCATCGCAAAAATCAAAATTCAAACCAGCGATATCTCAATGAAACTTGGCGCACTAGGCAAAACACTGGTACAACACACATAAAAAATCACAACAAAATAAGACTACATAGGAATCACTGTTGGCATTAAACAACTTATTTTTAATCAATTAATTAATTTGATTAATGTTGATCAAATTTAATAAATCGTGATTAAAATAGTCATTATTAAAAAAGTAATCTTAGTCATGCTTACAGGTGTTAATCATTAATTGATTTTTTGATTAAAAGAAGTATAGACTCATCAATTTCGTTAATCCTATGTTAACGAAATAATGTTAAAATTATTTGTGTATGTATGTAAGTGTTATTATTATTGATGGTGTTATATTTATTAAGCTATTCGTATTTATATTTATTTGCTGCCTAATTTGAATATATATTTGTATAGTCTACTTGCATTATAAGTTTCTTACTCTTACGGGTTCGGTGGAAGAGATCTCTAATTGAGATAAGCTCGCCCTTGCTAACATTATATCATACATGGATTCCAGGTGTTAAGTGCAATAAAGAATATTAAATAAAGATACAGACTTCATAACATATTTACTAATTATTTAAAAAAATTCTAATATTCAATTACAGTGAATTCTTATTTAGTTAAAATTATTCCCAATTATTTTCAATCAAATAAATCGTCAGATAATTTGAGTGCTTTATGATTTTTAATCATTAATTTTAATTGTTAATCTGATTAACTTTGGGCCAACAATGATAGGTACACCAATTACGGAGTGTAATGTTGCTAATGACAAAAGAAACTCCTTAGGTAGTGCTGGTCTAAAGTTATTGTATGCTGTTCAAATAATCAAAGCAAACAATCTGTTTGCCACGACACACCGTTCCCTAAATACAAGCGCCCTAGGTATAGGGTTGCCTATAGGGGCGGGCCAGGTCAAACTCAAACCAATATTTAATAAATATTAAACAACATCACATATATTGCTCATATTCCAAGCTAAAGCCCCAGTTTTATGGAATGTCTATATCGATCCGACCGGGAATCGAATCCGGGATCGCAGAGATGGCGTCACCTTCCACCACTCGGTTACGGAGGTCGTTTATTTTATATCGGGATAGCACTATGAATGCTACATATAATACATAGTATAAAACAAAGTCGCTTTCCATCGTCTGTTCCTATGTATCTTAGAACTACGCAACGGATTTTGATGAGTTTTTTTTTAAATATATAGGGTGATTCAAAAGGAAGGCTTTTAATTATAATACAAGACCACGCGGGCGAAGCCGCTAGCGAAAAGCTAGTACACAATAATATTAATACACTGAGACCCTTCATAACCAGACAAGTTCTCTTCTGGCTTATTTAAGATCATTTTTAAGAAAATACTTTTATATTAAACAGCTTCTTTTTCATCTACCTTCCTTTAGTTGTATATATGTCGCAGCCAAATGGTATAATCAGTCGAAAAATTAGGCCGCTAGTCCTTCGGTGAAATTAAATAGCGCCATTCAAATAAAGGGCTAGTCGCCTAAATGGTCGGCTGATTATACCACTTATACCACGCGACATATATCGAATTCCTTTCAATGGTAATAAATTAAAATACTTACCATTGACAATGTTATTATTAAATAAGGTTTAGCATTGGAGTAAATTTACACTTAGTATTAGTCAAAATTTAATTTTTAAACAGAGACTTATCAAATGTTAACCTGGTACGAGGTACTACAGAAGTAATATTGATTCCTAGGAGGTAGTAGGTTTGCTTATTCACTGTATAATATAAATTTGGACTAATACTAAAATTGCCATTTTAACATAAATTTACTAAACCTTGTTTAGACACTGTTGACTTAAAAATGTATTGATAAAACAAACCTGTCTTTTTTCAAATAACAGAGCCCCCTGTTGGCATAATAGATAGCATCATCCTTGACCAACTCTATGGCACGGGAATAGCATGATATGGCATCGTCCCATTTCTCTTGCTTCACAAATGTGTTGCCCTGAAAACATAGGGATAAATCAATATAACAACCTTTTGGTCCCTTAAGGTTATTGATCTTCAGTTGCTGGTTGTAGCCAATTCTAACTACTAGTAAATCTAGTCATCAATCGCTTATTTCATGTTTTCAACAGATAGCACAACATCTTGATGTTTTTCAGGAATTGTAATGACCATGTCATTTCAAGTATTAACTAATAAATTTCAAAACATATCAATGATAATAATAATAATCGTTATTATACTAGTCACTATATGAATGATTTATCAGAAAGAATAATGCTATTATATTTTTATACTAATAATTTAGCACCATGATCAGTCTGATATCTTTTCAGTAGAACAAATTATAAGGTCCATCTTGCAATGAGTACTTCTGAACATATCATAAATCAGACATGTGTATGTGTCTACACTAATCTTACAAAGAAGAAACATTAATTGTTTGTTTGCATTGAATAGGTTTCGAAACTACTGGATTGAATTTAAATATTCTTCCACCTAAGGGAAGCTTCATCATATGTAGATAACATACACCATCATTTATGCTGGCCAACATCACAGTATAACATACACAATTAAATTAAATTTGTGGTTGTGATTATTTCATATCTACATACCCTCTCTTTTTCATACTGTGCCTCTTCTCTCAATTTATCTAGTTTTGCCTGCTGACTCTTCTTGCTATCAAGTGATACTGGACCTATTTCCTCCATATCAACGTCTTCACATGCTTTATCCTGTAGAAAACAATGTATAATTTCAAAATGAATATTTATTCAGCTTTCAGTTGCAATATTAGTAGAGATTAGAAATAAAATTTCTTTTATTTATTCATGTGATATTCAAAGTCAGGTAAAATATTATTGTTTTTCTGGGCCGGGTGCTGCGCCGTCAAAATATTAGATGTTGGCACTAGAGTGTACAGGTGTATGTTTATGCGCTATATTATTTCCCACGCAAACGAATAATCTATGTCAACATTTGTCGAGATAGATATGGTCAGGAGTATATTCAACTCTATGAGACAGATATTGAAAAGTGTTTTATATTATTACAAGTATCAATATGTCTTAATCCTTTTTACCGACTGTTGCCTTCTATAAATTAAAATTTCTCGAAATGCCGAAATCTGATTCTAGTACACATTACTTATTTGAAGTAGCCTCCTTGCTTTGATGACGTCACATCGTCATAGAAATTCTAAAACAAAAATTAGGGAAAAGTATCAAAATAACTTGGTCCTAGTTTCACAATACTGTTAGAGTATAATAGAGTGCACTGAATTCGTATACTTATACGTATCGGTTTGTATGCGAGCGCGCCCGCGCGTATGTCGCACGCACACACATAAAATTGTGTCTTGAGCACTATCAATGTAAGTGTTCAACGCGCCGCTGAGATAACGCTCATAACAATTTGTACGTGTGCCTACATATCTCTTTTAACGACAAATTCAAAGATGGCTTTGGATTTGAATAGAAAATATTGCAGTATTTATGGATTTCTCAAAAACATTTCATACTCGTCGAAACATGCTTTTTTTAATTAACTCACATATCTGCTACAGAAAAAAGTACTTAAAATCAATTGCACAGACGTGCATTCAAATTGTTATTAATATAAAGCCACATTACCTATACAAATTTGACATCCATTAGAGCTTAAAGTCGTTATTAAACTTTAATTGACATTATTTTTACGATAAAGTTCTTTTTCTGCCTATTATTTAAGACAATTGTAAAAATATTCAGTGATCAAAAGATTTGTATTTTGTGTGTACAAATAAATAGTTACAGTATAAAAAATATTTTATTTTATTTGAATAAATACATGATTCACAATTGCCACATTTAACATAATCCTTTTCAACTGTAATTTTATCAAAACTCAACAGATCACATGACAGAAATTTTTCAAGTCAAGAAAAAATCAATGGACGTTGTGTTATAGATCCTTGATGATTTCTATAGAAACTGTCTTTGCATTTCTGAAGATTGTGGTACCTATTAGCAAAAACCCTAGGTGCTTAGGCGAAGAGAGAATGATTAATATAATATAGTTTGCTCTGGGCTTGAGTCCGTGTACTATTCTACAATACTAATAGGGCTCTTAACTTCTACCTCCATGGTGCTGAATTTATCATACGACCTTTCAACCCCAGACTCAGAACCTACTTGAAGTATTTTTTTAATAGGTTAGTTTTGGTAATGAAAACGAAGTCACAAAATTGCACAACAACTAAAATTTTCATTGTAATATACACAGATTCCAATTTTGATCACATGTGACGCCACTGTGGCGGCAACTGACAGATTAGTTATAAAAATATGCTTAATAATTATATATCAAATTTCTAGTTATTACTAGTCCTAGTATGGCAAGAAAACATGTTTATTTTTCCAGAATATTTATTATAATGCTTTTTTAAATTAAAATAAACAGTTACAAGTATTATTTCAAACCAAGTAGAATATTTGTCCCTTTCTTTTCATGTGTTATTATTAAAACTTTAGGTTAAAAACAAAAAAAATCTTGAAAACAAGTGAAAAACCTGTTGAAAAATGAGTGATTCTAGCAATGAAGAAGTTCATTTGACACCAACAGAATTGAGTGAAACTATATTGTAGTAGTTAATACCTAAACTAAAATAAAAGTCCTACATACATTATGATTTTAAATGTTTTCTTTGCATTTAATCTAACATGTTGAGTGCAAAGATTTTTTTTCATGCTCTATTCATTCCATCGTTAAAATTTTAAGCTTGTGGTCAGAAAGAAATTTGGATTCTAATCTCTTAGTTCTTTTAGAGCAATTTTGTTGCGTAATTTGTGTAATTAAATGGTTCAGTATGTCATTGATTGAAAGAAAAGATCAAAAAATTTCAATTATGAATTACAAATTTCTCTTATTTTTTTGTCTTCAGTATTTTATTTATTTTATTTAATTTACAATAAGAATTTTTCCACCACAATATTTTATGTTAGTCAAAGATCTAAAATAGAAGAAAACGATGGTACTTACAACATCAAATTTGTCCCAGGACTGGTAGTCGAAGGAGGAAATTCGTTTCTCAGTTTTTTTTGTCACAACAGTTGGCTTTTCCTTTTTCAATTTACTTCTAACTGGTGGTAGATCCTATAAAAAGATTGCACCCAAATTACTAGCACAAAGTACTTGAGTTGTAACATGATCTTATGCAAATTATTTTTGTTTACATTAAATTAAGATACAAATACTGCATAATAAATTATTATATGTAATAAACTATATCTCGACAAAACCACTAATAAGAAAAAGATACAAAACTTATATCACAATATAATTTTATTTTATTTTATTTATCACTATTATTTAACCACAAATTACATTATCTACTAAAACCCAGTGTCATAATAAGAAACACTAGAGGGCACATTTTTTCTACCTGATTCTAAGTGTAAGTACTAAGCAAAGATAACAATATTTTACTGGATACTAATTATATAAACTTTGTTCTATCCAAAATGCATTTAAACCTGCTCAAAAACGCCGTTGAGCGCGGCCTCTTTTCTTTTCATTTCAGCTTCCCAATTTTGCAAATCAGTCATATAGGTTTGGAATGATTTTACATTGTCCCGCACTTGTTTTTGGACTTCAAAAGCTTTTTCCATTGTTAACTCAGTTTTTTAGTGAATAATAATCTTTTTACCTGTTTGATCGATACTTTTGGTAGAAGTTGTCAACTTTTGTCGGTGTTGTCAGATGCCTGTGTTAAATAAATATCCTCATGATTTTGAATTCTCAAAAAATCTGTTAGTAGGTAAGTTCTACAAGAGGCGCGGACGGTACTAAGTTCACAATTATAATCTGACGTGCAAAATGTGTACAACACCATGGCTGCATTAGGCAGCTATTCTCAAATGTTCAAATCAGACAAATATTGCATTCCATGACGAAGTGACACACGTGCTCTGCGCTATTTAAAAAAAAATGCAATTTAAAAATAAACGATGACTTATTAAATAATGATCGATTATTTAATAAGTCATCGTTTATTTTTATTTTTAGAATAGAAGGTTAAATCTAGAAAATGTTCTTTATGTATTGTCGCAGATGTCATGGTACTTACTTACCACATCATAGTTCGTTTTAGATTTTTACTGCATTTCAGTTTTGAGAGTAAACCCACAATTCCAACAAAATCAATTTCTTTCTGCCGTTATTTTTATCCCCATATCGATAAAAACATCCCAAAATTGGGGGATTTTATCTAATCTAGTAACCTTTTCCTGTTGTGTGTCATTGTCAAACATTTTTGCATTTTCCAGATTCAACTGGAGATTTACGTTGTCATGGTGGTCTTTTAGTGTTACTAGTGTAAAAAACCCATTTTATTTGTCTAGAAATCATTAAATAAAAAGAAAGACTATTTTCTACACTGATTCCGAGTATTTATTATTAAAGGCTTTTAATCCCATTTGTACGCTAAATTAAAAAAAAAAATCATTCATTATCAATCAAAGAAAATTTTATTTATCTTTATGGCAAGTCAAGCTTTTCGTTTTGGAATATATTGAATAAAAGAGGAATGTGTACAAAATCTTGATTAAGCTTCATATATTTATTATGATATTTAGGCGTATGTAGGGCAGTAAAATACGAATATAAAATTAGTGAAAAAAGATTTTTAGATATTGGCGAGTAGGTACTAAATTAGACAAATATCTATCTATTTTTGATGTACGCATGTAGGTAGGGGGTCGGAAACCTTTCTAAAAACTTTTAAATTAGTCAGTGTCTGTACTTAATCCCACAAAAAATATTATTTATGTAAATTTAACCTATTATATACCCAAAACAATGAGTTTAGGGACGTGACCGGCATATGAGGGGTAAACAAAATGGATATTCAGCTTCGATCAAAAATACAATCAAAGATTTTCAATAAAAAAATAAAATAATAGTATTCAGTACGTATAGTCAAACTCATAAAAAAATATACTGATGACTGACATTTATAACTTATTTAAAATAATTTTGCACTTTGAATGTTTCCCACGCTTTTTATTGATAATTTTACTATAAATTTACCCAAAATGTCATCAAAAATATATGTATGCATCATATATTACAAAATTATATTTTTGTTGATTAATTTAAAAATTGAAAATAATATTCAGCAAATAATTTTTAAACTTCATGAACTTTATAACCAAGAATTTATAATACCATGATCAGTTATTAAATCTTATATTCATAATGAAGACATCTTAATAAACATTCAGCAATCAACAAGAAACGTCTATTCTAAACGAATAACAAGGTTATATCTTTTAATTTCAAAATCACAAAGACACGTACAGTTATTAAACTATTGCTACTGATCTTGCATGTCGACGGCGGACGTCGACCCATGTGTTAAGTTAATTCGTGCGGTAGGTCTGTGCTTTTTGGTTCTTAGTATAATATTGTTAATAATATATTGACTTTATACAGAACCTTCTCTAGAAATCAGTTTTATTGAAATATATTATTTACTAAGTACCTAAAGTAGTCATGCTCTCTTAAAAATGTCTGCGGTGATGTCGTGTGCGTTACATAGGTCGTTACGTTCCCTCAAATATAGTAAAGTTGAGTTGTATAGTTGAAATTAAAAAAACAGCCTTTGATAAGTTTCTTGTCGATTCTTGTCAGTACAAGATCTCCCGCCTTGATTTTGCGAACCATTGGCAAAGTTTGCGACTTTCACAAGTACTATGTAAAAGCCTAGATTTTGGTATTTATATTAATATCATTCATTTTGTGGATGTATAAAATGACAGATACAAATACAAGCTGAATTCTGCGCTCCGCTATTTGTTCTTCATTCCAAACCTGAATTCGGATGAATGTTACAAGCAACCAATAAGTTGGCTCATCACTAATGTTGACGTATCAACCAAACATCGTTCCTTTACACATAACATAATAAACAACTTAAACTTACTATTAAAATTAATTTGAAAGTTAGATATTATAAAAAACATAAAATGATGTCATATTTATTAATTTTCGATACTTAATTTACTTCTATTACGTCAGAAACAAAATTTCAATGAATATCATAAACAAAATCCAAACATCGCAAGTGACATCTAGTGTGATTTCAAAAATATTTTTTAATTTTTTAAATACTCATTTGATTTTTGATTTGATTTTTTATCTAATGAGAAAGTATTTAAAAAGACACATTAGTTCCCGAAATTAAACTAGATGTCGCTACAGTACTTTCTTGATTTCTCCATGACAACCCCCGGTTTTCTTTCATGTATAAAAGTAAATTAGTTTTCAAAACTCAATAAACAAAGTTTCGAACTTTGCAAATTCCAGTTTTTTAATATGTTAGTTAAAACGAACGGAAATAACTATCTTTGGTCCATTCGTTTCCTGCGAAAATCAACTTTTGCTAGAGCCGCCATCTAGTGGAGGTGCTTTTTTGGTGCTTTCTTTTTATTTTCAATACTTCCTCATAGCTCTCCAGTCCCCTATTATAAATCTTAAAATGTAGGAATTAAGAGTCACAGTGGATTGGAGTATTTAATATATTTCACGTTGTAAATACATAAAAGTCAGATGAGAGTAAAGAAGAGAGTGACATAAAAAACAATAAACAGTGTATAAAATATTAATTCAAACAGGTAAAGAAATGATGCCAGTGTCTGATTAATATAGAAAAAGGTTTTATCTACAATACACCTTTTTATTTCTGTTTAAATAAACGAAAAAACATAAACAACAAACGACACAATTTTGTTTAAGCAAAATATTTACATTTAGAGCAAATTTTCTTTTTACAAAATCTTTTGTTTTCATCTTCATTGTATACGAATAGATGACGCTACTGGATGGAAATGGAGGATTTTTAGGAACTTTTGCCATCTTTCCTGTTAATGACGTAATTATACATTTTGTTTTTGCATATTGGTTAATTTTTTTATCCTATTTCTTATTAAAGAAATGATAAAGCTCGGATTGGAAGTATAAAATACGAGTATAATAGCAAAACATAAAGACAGATACAAACAGGAATGACAGACACGTCAAGTAGGTACAAAACACTAAAGAGATCGAAAAACTACCAAGAAGTCTTCACTTCTTAACATCCCGTCTCGTTTTTCAAACCTATTTGAAAGCAACGTTCTTTCAGTCTTGGCTTGAAAAGTGGTTTCGTCAGGAAATCTGCAAGCTGCTCATTTGCTTTCACTTTCAGCACCTTGAGGTTTCCCCGTGTCACGCACTCCCGAATGAAGAAATGCCGCAAACGAATGTGTTTAGTCCTCTGGTGACATTCGTAAGGTGGGTCGTGGGCCAAGCGGATAGCTGACTCGTTATCAAGATAAAGTTCTGATGAGACTTCTCCAGCTACCATGAACTTCATAATCTTTTTTAGCCATATCAGCTCTCTGGCCGCTTCACTGGCAGCAACTATCTCTGCCTCTGTGGAGGAAATCGCGACCGTCCTCTGTCTTTTGCTCTGCCAAGCTATGGCCCCTTTCGAGTAAAGGCAGACCATTCCAGACGTAGATTGTCCTGTAGTGGGATCTCCCCCATGATCTGCATCGCTGTAAGTTTGGATGCATTTTGACGCGGTGGAAGATTGGTATCTTATACCATTATTGACTGTCCCTTTAATGTAGCGAAAGATTCTCTTCACCTTGGCCACTTCATCTGGTTTGGGATTGTCTAAGGTTCTTGAGATAACACCTACAGCATACGCTATGTCAGGTCGTGTCCCAATTGCTAAGTACGAAAGCGCACCAACTGCCTGTCTGTAGAGAAATGGTGCTGCTTCCTGCTCTTTTTCGGTTATTTGAATATCTTTAACTATAGGAGTTACTGCAGCCTTACAGTTTTGCATATAGAATCTCTCCAACAGACGTCTCGAGTATCCTTTTTGATCGATTTTGATAGATCCATCAGTTTCCCTCTTAATCTCTATACCCAAAAAATACGAGCCAGGTTGAGTGGTAATTTTAAAACAATGTCTTAACTCACTCAAAAACTTTTCCGTTTCATTTGGGTTTTCAATATCCTTATTTCTAATGAAGAGGCATGGATCACTGTCGCACTGCTTGAATCCTATCTTCAATATATATTGTGTGATGCAGTGATTCCAGCACCGAGGTGCTTGTTTCAAACCATACAAGCTTTTTTAACTTACACACTTTTCCTGTTCTATCATCATACCCTTCTGGAGGTTTCATATAAATTTCCTCATTCAAATTTCCGTAGAGGAAAGCCGTTGATACGTCAAATTGTGACAAAGTTAGTTTTTGCTGTGCAGCAACACTTATTAATGCCCTTACAGTGCTTAATTTTGCTACTGGGCTAAATGTCTCGTAGAAGTCTACTCCTTCCTTCTGAGTATAGCCCTTGACTACAAGACGAGCCTTATATTTTTGTACTGTGCCATCCGGATTGGTTTTGATTTTATACACCCACTTTCAAGGAATCGCTTTCCTTCCTTTGGGTAAATCTACCAAATTCCATGTCTGGTTTTCTTTAAGAGAGTTAATCTCACTCTCCATAGCTACTCGCCACTTATCTGACTCGGCACTTTCAATTGCTTCTTTGAAATTTGTAGGTTCTGACAGAGGATCAACAGATGAAGATTGTACGTGACAAACATTGCAGACATAATCACGATATCGATTTGGCGGTCTGAGATTGCTGCGATTACGTAGTGTCATTCTGCCTTCATT